AACGTTTGTTTTAATCGTCCTCTTTTTTCGTGATTAACAAATCAGCGTAATATGCTGCGTGTTTTTTTCTGATTCGATGCTTGATATATGTTGCTGGCGTGTTGACATGGTACTTGTGGCGACCCTTTTTATGAATCGGTTGGCGGGTAGTGGATAACATTTAGATGATGAGCTTTAGATGTGTAGATGCACGCTTCCCTAGATCTGAGATGAGGGTGTTTTTCTACGATTAGATCTGAGATGAGGGTGCTGTCGAGTGTCGTGAATTCAGTCAGATCGATTCGCATTGTGTCGAGCTTTCGTGTCGCGAGCGTGTACTGTATTTTCTGTGCCTGGATCTGGGTTTTTTGTCTTTGAAGTGTTTGGATCTGAGTGATCTTTTATTAGCTAGCTAATCATGAGCCATGCATTTTTCCAATCTGTGATTCGATTTGATTCTTGAAGTTCAACTTCTCATATGCTAATCATTTGTCTGAAATGATCGCCAACTGACAATATAGTAGCATGTGATTAATGTGAAAAATGAAATTTAAGATATTTCGTAAGATTAAGATACCTTCTTGGTTGATGGGATCTCATGTATTAAATAATTTGAGTCAAAAGTGTGCATGAACCGGTTAAAACTCATATACAGGATCGAGTTCGTTTGTCCTTTCCCTGTTTCTTGGACTCAATTTTGATTATATTTTGTAGTTTGTATTCTGTTGTTTTATGCGAATCATGCCATTGAATTTGGTATATCCAGAAAAATGGCGTCACACATTGTTGGATATCCTCGTATGGGCCCCAAGAGAGAGCTCAAATTTGCTCTGGAGTCCTTCTGGGATGGAAAGAGCAGTGCCGAGGATTTGGAAAAAGTAGCGGCTGACCTTAGGGCATCAATCTGGAAGCAGATGTCCGAAGCTGGAATCAAATACATCCCGAGCAACACGTTTTCGTACTATGATCAGGTGCTCGACACAACTGCCATGCTTGGTGCTGTACCGCCAAGATACAAGTGGACTGGTAATGAGATTGGTTTCTCCACTTACTTCTCTATGGCCAGAGGAAATGCCTCTGTTCCAGCTATGGAGATGACCAAGTGGTTCGACACCAACTAGTAAGTGTTGATCGAGTTTTCAAGTTCATCGGCTGTTAAATCTTGAGAATAGTTACTTAATCCATTATGTTTGTTTATGGGTGCAGCCACTTCATTGTCCCTGAGTTGGGCCCTGATGTTAAGTTTTCTTATGCTTCCCACAAGGCAGTTAATGAATATAATGAGGCCAAAGCGGTATGATTTTGCAATTCTCCTGCTGTTGTTTCCAATTAAGCAGTGAATAAATTGGTTGGGAGCAAATTGAATATGCATTTTTTCGTAGACTCAATTGTAGTCTCGTAATGAATCTCTTCTTCTCTCCCATGCAGCTTGGTATTGATACCGTTCCAGTTCTTATTGGCCCTGTCACATACTTGTTGCTCTCTAAACCTGCCAAGGGTGTCGAGAAGACTTTCTCTCTTCTTTCACTTCTTGACAAAATTCTCCCAATCTATAAGTAAGAATATATAAGATCTATGTTTTCCCTGAATAGCTCCCACTATACATATTTGTTTCATTTGGTGCTTAAATATCATTCACACATTGGCAGGGAAGTTATTGCTGAGCTGAAGGCTGCAGGTGCTTCATGGATCCAATTTGATGAGCCCACACTTGTTTTGGACCTTGAATCCCACAAGTTGGAGGCATTCACCAAGGCCTATGCTGAGCTTGAATCATCGTTGTCTGGCCTTAATGTTTTGATCGAGACTTATTTTGCCGATGTGCCTGTGGCTGCATACAAAACCCTTACCTCATTGAGTGCAGTTTCTGGTTTCGGATTTGATTTGGTTCGTGGGACTCAGACTCTTGATCTGATCAAAGGTGGATTCCCTTCTGGAAAGTACCTCTTTGCTGGAGTTGTTGATGGGAGAAACATCTGGGCCAATGATCTTGGTGCATCTCTTGCCACTCTGCAGTCTCTTGAGGGCATAGTCGGAAAAGGTATATTGGTTAACACATATTTCCTGGGGCTATATGTGTTTGATCTTTGGATTGGCTCATATTTATTCATTTCTTTTTTATTTTTTATTTTTTCCTTCCAAGTTTTCTCAAGTCTACCCCTCCCCTTTTAATTTGCGTCTAAATTCTAATTATTTGAATTTTTTAAATTTGAATGAGGATATATGTTTTGATCGAGCAGATGTGATCCATATAACTGACCCCACTTAGTGGGATTTTAACGGCTTGTTGATTGATTGATTGATTGATGTGCAGACAAGCTTGTTGTCTCGACCTCCAGCTCACTTCTCCACACGGCTGTGGATCTTGTTAATGAGACTAAGTTGGATCAAGAAATCAAGTCATGGCTTGCATTCGCTGCACAAAAGGTTGTTGAAGTGAATGCTCTGGCAAAGGCACTTGCAGGCCAGAAAGATGAGGTGAATCGTACTGCTAATGCAAGAGCACGAATCCAATTTAAAACTGAATCTTGCTATTAACCCCTTAAACCTTCTGCAGGCCTTCTTTTCTGCAAATGCTGCTGCTCAGTCTTCGAGAAAATCATCTCCCAGGGTGACTAATGAAGCCGTCCAGAAGGCTGTAAGTTGACTTAATACTACTTATATTGGGATTTCGAACATTCAAGTGCCTTTACTGAATATTGGTAGTGTGCTTATTATAATCCGTTTTGCTTGTGTTCAATCAGGCTGCTGCCTTAAAGGGTTCTGATCACCGCCGTGCAACAAATGTGAGTGCCAGACTCGATGCTCAACAGAAGAAGCTTAATCTTCCGATCCTCCCCACCACAACTATTGGTTCCTTCCCTCAGACCATCGAGCTCAGGAGAGTTCGTCGTGAGTATAAGGCCAAGAAGTGAGTGCTTTTATTTTTTTGCTTTTATTTTTTTAAAACTGATGGAATATATGTATACTAAAGGCAAAGATATTTCTTTGAAGGATCTCTGAGGAGGATTACATCAAGGCTATCAAGGAGGAGATCAACAAGGTTGTCAAGCTTCAGGAAGAGCTCGATATCGATGTTCTTGTTCATGGAGAGCCAGAGGTAAAAGCCAATCGGAATCGTGATTTTCTATTGAAATATATATGAATGAACAAAAAATGGCTAAATTTTGTTATTCTGATTTCGAGGAAAGTGAATTTTGGTTGTCACTAATACATACTGGGATGTTTTGAATTTTCCAGAGAAACGATATGGTTGAGTACTTTGGTGAGCAATTGTCCGGCTTTGCCTTCACAGCCAATGGGTGGGTCCAATCCTATGGATCTCGCTGTGTAAAGCCGCCAATCATCTATGGTGACGTGAGCCGCCCGAAACCTATGACTGTCTTCTGGTCAACTGCTGCCCAGAGCATGACCAAGCGCCCGATGAAAGGAATGCTCACGGGTCCCGTCACCATTCTTAATTGGTCTTTTGTCAGAAATGATCAACCCAGGTATTAATAATAATAGTTTAATTATTATATTCATCTCTATAAATTTTTTAGTCGTGAATGCTTATGTTTTTATTTCTCGGGATTTCAAGGTTTGAGACGTGCTACCAGATTGCTTTGGCCATCAAGGATGAGGTTGAGGACCTCGAGAAGGCTGGAATCACGGTCATCCAAATTGACGAGGCTGCACTGAGAGAAGGCTTGCCTCTGAGGAAATCCGAGCATGCTTTCTACTTGGATTGGGCCGTGCACTCTTTCAGAATCACAAATGTCGGTGTCGAGGACACCACTCAGGTGTGTGCCTTCCTTTCCTCTTCTCCTTCACTCGAAACGTTAAGTCATTTGTTACTCAAATCAAATCACTAAAAAGAAAACTACTGTTGAGGTTTACTCTATTTAATAGTTTAAAATCATTTGTTACTCAAATACAATTACCAAAAAAAAAAAAAATCTACTCTTGAGGTTTACTCTATTTAATAGTTGCTAATAATTGTTTTTGGTCGCACGCAAAACGACAGATCCACACGCACATGTGCTACTCGAACTTCAACGACATCATCCACTCCATCATCGACATGGATGCTGATGTCATCACCATCGAGAACTCGCGTTCGGACGAGAAGCTGCTTTCGGTGTTCCGTGAGGGAGTTAAGTACGGTGCTGGAATCGGGCCTGGAGTGTACGACATCCACTCTCCGAGAATCCCATCTACCGAGGAAATTGCTGACAGGATTAACAAAATGCTTGCTGTCCTAGAAACCAACATCTTGTGGGTGAACCCAGATTGTGGTCTCAAGACACGTAAGTACGCGGAGGTTAAGCCCGCGCTCGAAAACATGGTTTCGGCTGCTAAGCTCCTCAGGACCCAGCTTGCCAGTGCTAAATGAGCCAATATTATAATGTGATTCTATGAGCCAAGTCTAGAGAATGTTTCTCTATTATATTATCAATGTTTCACTATTTTTTTTTCACATTTTTACTTCTTTTTGGGTTTGTGGTTTTTGTGTTCTTGAGTCTTGACCATTGTGTGTGAAAGGCTTTCTATTGAAAGGTTTTTGCATGTGTAAAAGATGGTTGGAAATTGAAGTAATTTTTTACTTTCAGATTGTGTTTTCTTCCCTTTGCTTTCTTTAGCCAACTGATATCGGTTAATGGCCTAGCAAATGAAATGTTCATCAGTCTCAAAAAATGCATATTTATATCATTATACTATAAAATATCATATATTTATTTATTTTGTAATTTAAACTATGAAATTTACGTGGGAAAATATATATTTTATTGAATAAAAACGTATGGTTGCCTAATTATTAAGTGGGCTTTCGGAAGACTATCATCTATATTTGATTTGAAATTTATGATATTATTAAACCTTGGGTTTAATGATTTTAAGCAATTCTGCTTTTGTTATAGAAATGTTCGCTGATGATAAATGTATACGGTATCAAAAGACCTTCGATCGGCTGAGATCGGCATGTTGATGAGCTTCCTCACCGAATGAACGCCTTAAGACCTGCAAAAACTTTCACACCGGAGGAGTTTTTCTGTGAAAAGTCTTCGATGTTTAAATGAGTATGTGTAGAAGATGATTTGCAGTAATGTAAAGTATAATGGACGTAATGAGATAAAAACACACCTCTCACCCCTATTTATAGGTGTGAGGTATACCTTCTTCTAGAAGGTTGTCCGAATGAGGTGAGTTGGTTGCCTGATAGTACGATCGGCCCTGCCCACTGTCACAGGTGGTTGCAGAGTGCGGACCAATCAGGTAGTGCCACGTGTAGCACTAATTATGGCGAAATTCCTTCTTATCCCTTAATCTTTCATGTTCGACCACTTAATAGCGTGACCCACTCGAGATCTACAGAGGTATAATATTGACTGTCCTGGACCAAGTGTTGTTCCTTCTAGTCCATCACACAACCAAGTTCCAACCATGCCTACATGTCGAGCTTTTATGAGGCCTTCCGAGGACCCTAGATCGACCTGCTGCCCTGAACCCCTTACGATATCTTCCAGATCAAATACTCTTTCTTGAATCGATGATGTTCGACCACCACCATCCTGTTGTAACTCGGTTCGACCTGGCGGCTTGCTCGCCCTAGTCAACAGGTTTATTTCCTTAAGTATGTTATCCATATCATATACAATATGTATTTTGCCTTATCTGAAGTATGATACATTTTAAGGCGCTAGCTTTTTACTCTAGTAGTCTAGTTCTGAAATAGAAGAACACTTTTATTTGTATCTAATTTATTAAAATTGTTTGCGATTTATTTGGTTCGAAAAATCAGTGAATCCCAATTGGACTCGTATCACTCGTAAACTACCAATTACTTATATTTAGACATGGCCAAAACCTGGTTTCGAGACTGTCCAAAACATGGCCAACCCGATTCCAAAGCCAAAATCCAATTCTAGTTTGGAATCACTGGCTCAGGTTCGCATTTTAAGTGAATCAGAACCGGCTTGGCTGTTTATGACCATTCGGCCATGAACCATAATAATAATAATAAAATCAATTTTAAAAAAAGATATAATTATCTATTAATATATAAAAAAGATAGGGTTTTAGTTTAAATAGTATGAAAATTTCCCTTAAAATTTTTAAAGTTACTATTCTTGTTTTTTTTTTAAAAAAAAAATGGAGGTTGAATTCAAAAAAAAAGTGTGTTTGAGTAAGATAATGTGTAAAACTTGATTTCAAAAAATCTAGCTAATGATTTCCTTAAATGCTACAGGTAAATCTGACTAATAATGAGATAATTTTTATAAAAACCCATTTTCTCAAAATAAATCTAAGGCATGAAATACCAAATTTCCTCAATTATTTATCACAAAATAACATAGGTTTTTAACTTAGAAAAATCTTGTCTTTAGAGCACCCACAATGCTTTGGGTCTCTTTAAAAAAAAATCATATGGCATGTAGGAAATAGATTTAGTCTATAAAAAAGTGTTTCACAATGCAATTAAAAATGGACCTAGTCTAGTTTATGCGGCAATAAAAATAAGAGACCAAGTCCACCCTTGGGTCTTTTTGGACCCAAGTGTGAACCTTACAATAGTAATCATTTACTATTATTATATTTTTATTGGTTGTTAGATATTCTAGACTTAGTACTTTTTTTTTTTTGCATTGGATAGATTTTGGAGTTTTTAGCTTGGGTTTATCCATGTTATTATAGACTTAAGTCTATTTATTTGCCACATATGCAAAAAGAGACCCAAAGCATTGCAGTTGCACTATCGTGTGCCTTGGCACACCTTGCTAGGTGTGCCAGGCCAGAATTGCACGCGCGAGCAAGGTAAAAAAAAGTGTTGAAAAGGATTTTATTTAACGTGAAACCACGCGCCTTTCAAATCACTTCTTTTGCTCATTAATTATTTTTTTTCCCCAATTTTGCCGGCATCGTGCCTCGATTTTCAAACCGCCTTCTCCCCCAACTGCAACTCCTCTTCATTCTCACCATTGTTTTCTCTTAATTTTCTCTGTTTCACGAGCAAAAGTTCCCGGAGAAGACAATTTTAAGTGAAAAACGCTCAATTTCCGACGATCTCTGCTTCCCAGGTAAGATTTTTTTGCTTTTCATGTCGATTAAATTTCAATTTCATAGATTTTAAATGTTAAACTTAGAAATGAAAAACCCTACTTCATGGAAGATGGAAAACGAGACATTGCGGAAAATGCTGGTATGTATTTTGTGCCTTGGGTTGAAACCATTCCGATTAGAGATTCAATTCACTTGCCAAAACCCTATTTTCAATTTCAAATTTATGTGCCTAGGGTTTAAAGTAGTCATTGCAGGAGATTGTATAATGTGTTATAAATTTTTTGCCACACAGGATAAAATTAAAGCCCGTAGGAAAAATAGATCGAAACAACGGCCAGAAAATGTTGGTGAACGGTATGTCCGCCTTGTTCATCTTCATTCGTATATTGGTTCATTTGAACATGTTCAATTTGCTTTTAAACATATTCATTTGCTTATTACACAAGTTCATTTCGTTGCTATACATGTTCAAAGAACATCTTATATAGAATGTAGACATGTTCATTTTGTAATTGAACATGTTCATTATACAATAGAACAAGTTCATTAAATACTGAAACATGTTCATATCATACTGTAACATGTTCATTTTATATTTGACCATGTTCATTATACAATTTAACATGTTCATTTTATACTGTAACATGTTCATATTATACTGTAACATGTTCATGATATTATTTTTGTAGAAAAAGGAAAACTGATACTCTGAGTGAGCAAACTGAAAGAAAGAAGCCAAAATTAACCTATGAAACAAAAGAAGAAGGGGGATTCTTAAATAGAGTTTCCTCTCTAGCGTTGTGCAAATTTTTCAAAGACTTGGATGACCGACAGAAAGAAGATGTAAAGAGTATAGGTTTTGGTCATCTTCTCGACATGAAGATTACACAAATTGCGCCAGCAAATCTTTGTTATTTCCTGGTCACAAAGTACAGGTAATTTGTGAAATTTGATTTTCATTAGAATGTACATGTTATTTTCATTCTACTACATGTTCATTTTCTTATTAAACATGTACATCACATTATATCACACGTTATCACAGGTATGCCAGTAACACTCTCATTCTCCGCGGTAATAGAGAGATGAATATTACCGCCGAAGATGTTGAGGCTATTCTGGGCCTACCGAGAGGACCAAAAGAGGTCATTGAGGGAGATTGGTATGACAAAGATGAACAATATAATAAGATGCTTGGGGATTTCAGGGAGACCTTTGGTTTTAAGCGTACGGCTGGAGCTCCAACAGCCAAAAAGCTGGTGCAATATTTAACTGGAAAGGACGTTGAGAGAGGACAGAGAGTCTATGGAGATGACTTTAAAAGAATTTTCGTGATTGCTGTGGTGTCCCTATTTCTCTGGAGAAATAGGGGCCAAGAATGCAAGTTTAGATTGCTCAAATCGTTGCGAAAACCATCTGACATCATCAATTACAATTGGTGCCAGTATGTGTTACAAGCTCTTTCTGAATCAGTCAAGATGTGGAATGAAAGTGGTGGAGAGGCCCATTTTAATGGTCCACTCACTTTCTTGGTAGTATGCTATCTGGATAGGGTCCAGTTTATGAACAAGACTTATGTGTCCCGGAAATTCCCTGCTATTGCTTATTGGACAAATCAAGCAATTTCCAAGAGAGTTAGGGAAGAGCAGAGTGGCCAGGGTTTTGGGATGGGGTCAATACTTGATCCCATCAAACCACCAAGAGATGGATCGGATCAAGCAGCCACATTAGCTGATGAACATGTGGTCGAGGTAAATTCTGTTCATAAGTTTCTACAACATGTACATCTTATCAGACAACATGTTCACAAAATAATATAACATGTTGATCTTTATTCTAAAATATGTTCATCCCTTCATACAACAACTTCATCCCTTTAACCAACATGTTCATCTCATTATAAAAAATGTTCATATCATAATGTATCGTGTTCATATAATAATATAACAGCTTCATCTCATACAAGTTTTTTTCCTAAAAAGAAACAGCAAGAAAATTTGGTTGAAAGGTTTGAAAGGGCTATGACAAATATAGCACCATTCGTGTCTGAAGTTCGAGAGGTGTGTGAAAGGGCAAAGAGCTCGGATTTGGGTGCTGCCCTCATTATTCATCATGCACTTCAGAACCATGTATCAGTTATCATGAAAATCGCACAAGGTGTTATTGATGCGCAAACAAATGAAGGAATTGATGATGAAATGGGTTCTGATGGACAGGAGCAGGAACAAGATGCAGGTAACATGTTCATTTCATTTTAAAACATGCTCATCTGATTGAATGACATATTCATTATCTTAAACATGTTCTTAAGCATGTTCATCTCCATATTTAACATGTTCATTTCATTCTTAAACATGTGCATCTGATAGAATGACATATTCATTATCTTAAACATGTTCATATCCATATTTAACATGTTCATTTCATTATCTAGAAAATAAGGATGAGGAGTCAATTCATGTAGAGGTTGGGGATGATGTTTTGGTGCAAGAACAAGAAAGAATTGAAAATGAAGTGGCAAATGATCGAGAGGAACAGGAACAGGAACAAGAACAAAAACAGAATGGAGGTAACATGTTCATTTCTCTCTCAAACATGTTCATCTTATTGCATTATATATTCATTATCTTAAACATGTTCTTAAGCATGTTCATCTCCATATTTAACATGTTCATTTCATTCTTAAACATGTGCATCTGATCGAATGACATATTCATTATCTCAAACATGTTCTTAAGCATGTTTATATCCATATTTAACATGTTCATTTCATTATCTAGAAAATAAGGATGAGGAGTCAATTCATGTAGAGGTTGGGGATGATGTTTTGGTGCAAGAACAAGAAGGAATTGAAAATGAAGTGGCAAATGATCGAGAGGAACAGAAACAGGAACAAGAACAAGAACAGAATGGAGGTAACATGTTCATTTCTCTCTCAAACATGTTCATCTTATTGCATTATATATTCATTATCTTAAACATGTTCATTGTCTTAGAAAATGAGGAAGAGAAAGAGGATGATGGTGTGGAAAGAAATGAAGGAATTGAGACTGAAATGGCAACTGATGGACAGCAAGAAACACATGATACAGGTAACATGTTCATTTCGTTCCTAAATATGTTCATTTTATTGAATAACATATTCATTTGGGTCTGAATATTTATTTATTCATTCTAACGGTTAAGGAATTCAATGTGAAGGAATTCAATCTATTTTGTCGGATATTTTCAATGAATATGGGGATGGACAAGACAGTAATAAGGAAGTGGATGAGGATGAAGTTGTGGTGCAAGAACGGGAAGGAATTCAGAAAGAACTTGCAACTGATGGACAACAACAAGCACAAGATACAGGTAACATGTTCGTTGCGTTCTTAAATATGTTCATTTTATTGAATAACATATTCATTTGGGTCTGAATATTTATTTATGCATTCTGAACTGCAAGGAGATGCTTCAGTGGTAGAAGAGCTGGGAGAGAAGTCTTCTGAAAAAAAATGATCTGCAAAGAGATGTTTCAGTGGTAGAAGAGCTGGGAGAGAAGACTCCGGAGAAAAAAGATTTGGAAGAAGAAGAACAAACTGGAGGAGAGAAGACTCCGGAAAAAAAAAAGATTTGGAAGAAGAAGAACAAACTGGAGGAGAGAAGACTCCTGAAAAAAAAGATTTGGAAGAAGAAGCTAGAGGAGAGAAGACACCAAAAATTCCATTTGAGAGAAGATTATTATTTGAAGAGTATATATTTTGTGCTAGTCAAACATTCAACTTGCAAATTGACAAACTAACTAATATTATGAATATTACAGGATGGTTCTTGGAGAAAAAGGCAATAAGGACAGCGATTTGGATCCCCCTTTCCTATCAACTCCCTTCTAAAAAGGACATGTTGAAATCAGAGGCAAGTGCACTCTGAAGGAAAGAGCATTTTGGAACTTTACAATGGAAGGGGACAACGACAATGCTGAAAAAACCACGTATGTTCATTTTATTCTGTAACATGTTCATCCGGTTGTATGAAATGTTCATTAAATTATATAACATGTTCACTTGTTGTATACAATGTTCATTAAATTATATAACATGTTCATCTGGTTGTATACAATGTTCATTATATAATATAACATGTTCATCCTTTCTTTGTGTAACTGTTACAGAGAAGTCATCTTTGAAGGATTACAACTGGCCTGCACAAGAGAAGATTTCAAGACCTTCAACCTTGGAGAGTATATTTCATCAACAATTGTTGATACTTGGGCGATGCACTTGAATTTCAGATTCCACAGCTTGAATAAAAATAAGAGTAAATTCTGCTTAACAACTAATGTCATGGTAAGAATCCATATGTTATGAACTACTAACACCTAGCTATATCTCTTACACTAAACATTCGACATACTTTCTAGATGGGATTGTCTTTACAAGCTATGAGTAACAGAGATCCGAATGAATATGTGAGGGAAGCAGCTGCAAGGATGGATGTCGAGTTCACAGAACAAGGGCTTTCAATTCATGATATCAAGAATATCAACCATGTGAGTAAATGTAACATGTTCATCTTATTATAAAACATATTCATCTTCGTGTTAAACATGTTCATCTTACATTGGTCTGTTCCATTTTTCAGCTTATAGTCCCAGTCTGTTTTCAGACCCATTTCTACCTCTACTGTTTGGACTTTGAAAATAAAAAACTAGGCATTCTTGATAACATGGATACAGTGTTGAGTGGAAATGTGCCACTTAAAAACAAGTATGGCGGAACTAAAGATTTCTTGGTAAGACTTGACTATTTCAACTTACATTCTATATAGTTTTTTTATTTTTTAACAAAAACAATTATTAATTCTGGCATCAACAAACAGAAAAAGGTCATTGAAGCGTACAGAAAAATGTACAAGAAACCCTTCAAGACCCCGTTGAGCAAGCTTATCTTGAAACTGGTGAACATGCACTGCGCAGATTCAACAAACACAACGGACTGCGGAATATATGCAATGCATCACATGTCCAAATATGTTTGTGTGCATGCAGATAGCCATGATTGCGCATTCCCTCAGATAGGCAGTGATTCGGTAATATTTTTCATCCTAAATTTTTAATGTTTACACATGAAGAACAAGTTGCATGTTACAAGTCAAACTGATGTTGATTATATTGTCCATTTCAGAGGAAAAAGGTCCACATGAAGAACAAGTTGGACACTCTGCGGGTGAAGTACTTGGCCAAATTGATCGAGTCTCCAATAAACAAGAAATCAGATGTTGTCCGAGAGGATTTGAGTAATTATTTCGCTGAAAAGACAATCGAGTGATAAATGAACAACTTTGATAGATGTAGTGTTAGTTCTATGTTTGTACGGTTTGATAAACTTGTTGGTTTTTTCTTTGTGTTAGTTCTCTGATAAGACAAATATTTTAGTGTTAAACATATTCATAATATTAAGAAACGTCTTCATTTTACAAAGTAACATATTCATTTTACAAATCATCATATTCATTTTACAAATCAACATATTCATTTTACCAAGACACGTATTCATTTTTCAAAGGAACATGTTCATTTTACCAAGAAACGTATTCATTTTACAAATTAACATATTCATTTTACAAAGTAACATATTCATTTTACAAAGTAACATATTCATTCTAGTATAATTGAGTCAAATTCTAATATATTCGAGTGAATTCTAGTATAATCGAGTCAAATTCTAGTATAATATAGTCAAGCTTAGTATAATCGAGTCAAATTCTAGTATAATCTAGTCGAGTCAAATTCTAGTATAATATAGTCAAGCTTAGTATAATCGAGTCAAATTCTAGTGTGATCGAGTCAATTCTAGTATAATTGAGTCAAATTCTAGTATATTCGAGTGAATTCTAGTATAATCTAGTCAAACTTAGTATAATTGAGTCAAATTCTAGTTTGATCGAGTCAATTCTAGTATAATCTAGTCAAACTTAGTATAATCGAGTCAAATTATAGTATGATCTAGTCAAGCTTAGTATAATCGAGTCAAATTCTAGTGTTCGAGTCAATTCTAGTATAATTGAGTCAAATTCTAGTATATTCGAGTGAATTCTAGTATAATCTAGTCAAACTTAGTATAATTGAGTCAAATTCTAGTTTGATCGAGTCAATTCTAGTATAATCTAGTCAAATTTAGTATAATCGAGTCAAATTATAGTATGATCTAGTCAAACATAGTATAATCGAGTCAAATTCTAGTGTGATCGAGTCAATTCTAGTATAATTGAGTCAAATTCTAGTATATTCGAGTGAATTCTAGTATAATCTAGTTAAACTTAGTATAATTGAGTCAAATTCTAGTTTGATCGAGTCAATTCTAGTATAATCTAGTCAAACTTAGTATAATCGAGTCAAATTATAGTATGATCTAGTCAAACTTAGTATAATCGAGTCAAATTCTAGTGTGATCGAGTCAATTCTAGTATAATTGAGTAAAATTCTAGTATATTCGAGTGAATTCTAGTATAATCTAGTCAAACTTAGTATAATTGAGTCAGATTCTAGCTTGATCGAGTCAAATTCTAGTATGATCTAGTCAAACTTAGTATAATCGAGTCAAATTCTAGTTTGATCGAGTCAATTCTAGAATAATTGAGTCAAATTCTAGTATATTCGAGTGAATTCTAGTATAATCTAGTCAAACTTAGTATAATTGAGTTAAATTCTAGTTTGATCGAGTCAATTCTAGTATAATCTAGTCAAACTTAGTATAATTGAGTCAAATTCTAGTATGATCTAGTCAAACTTAGTATAATCGAGTCAAATTATAGTATATTCAAGTGAATTCTAGTATAATTGAGTCAAATTCTAGTATGATCTAGTCAAACTTAGTATAATCGAGTCAAATTATAGTATATTCAAGTGAATTCTAGTATAATCTAGTCAAACTTAGTATAATCGAGTCAAATCATAGTATATTCGAGTGAATTCTAGTATAATCTAGTCAAACTTAGTATAATCGAGTCAAATTCTAGTATAATCTAGTGAATTCTAGTATAATTTAGTCAAACTTAGTATAATTGAGTCAAATTCTTGTATAATCTAGTCAAACTTAGTATAATTGAGTCAAATTCTAGTATGATCTAGTCAAACTTAGTATAATCGAGTCAAATTCTAGTGTGATCGAGTCAATTCTAGTATAATTGAGTCAAATTCTAGTAGAGTCGAGTTGACATGTTCATTTTACAAATAAACATATGCATTATGTTAATTAACATATTTCTTCATAGAATATCAACATATTCATCGCGCTAATAAACATAATCATCTCATAACCTAACATATCCATCTTATAATTTGAAATGTTTATTTTACAATTAAACAAATGCATCAAGTTAAGAAACACATTACTTACAAAATCAACATACAACATGTGCAAAATCAACATGTTCATCGGGTTAATAAACATGTGCATTTGCAAAAGACACATGTTCATATGAAAACAAAACATGTTCATAGAAAACAAAAGGTATCTTCATTTTGAGAGGCCATGTTCATAACCGGAGGATTGTATCCAGAGCCTCTAGGATCATCTTGAGAATCTTGGTTGGGAGGAAAAGGATGCACAAACCGTCCAACAAATTCAGGGTTTGTAGAAAAGACCCGGTTAAACATGGTGTTCCTATTCCTCAATGAAGCTTGTTTCTTGTGCTTCCCCTTTGATTGTCTTGAAATTTTCTCCACAGTACTTTTCCGTCGAATGTTTCGTTCTCCTCTAGGCCTCAATTTCTCTGGATCGTTAACATTTGCAGCAGAAGATTTCGCGGTACAAGACGGTTCATCTGTAGCTAATGAAGAAAAATGAGACTCTATTCGACAGACATGGATCTCAAACATTTATCAACAATATCTTTGGCATTTTGATCCATTTCACTTGATGAAACAATCTTCAGAAACTGACATATTTTGTCGGATCTCCAAAGGCATGCACCTGAAATGAACATATTTGATTCAGTAATGAAGATGTTGTCAATACTAAATGAACATGTTCTATTGTATAATGAATATCATGCACATGTTTCAGTAAGACATGAACATGTTTCAATACAAAATGATCATGTTCTATTGTAGAATGAATATCATGCACATGTTTCAGTAAGACATGAACATGTTTCAATACAAAATGATCATGTTCTATTGTATAATGAATATCATGCACATGTTTCAGTAAGACATGAACATGTTTCAATACAAAATGATCATGTTCTATTGTATAATGAATATGTACCTGGCACATGGTAACCCGCAGAATATTGGGTTCCCTCCAAGTCTAAACGACTGTTCAAATTGGCATTCCGACGCCACCTTGGATGTACATACATATCCGGAACTCTTTCGACATTAAAAACGATGTACACCTAAGATAGTGGCAGCAAAGGAAACCAACCTCCGAAAACAAATCGCATGAACACCTAACCTCATGAGAAGTTAAGTTGAAATTTACTTGGTGCTTGAACACATCCACATTTTCCCTTTGAACATAGCATAAAACAACATTCCCATTATTTCCAATTCCAATGCTTTGTGGTGCTCCAACGACTTCCATCTTGCACGAAATTGCAGCTATATACAGTTGCTCAAAATGAATATATACTTCAATTGTGTACAACTCACGAACATTAAGGAGCAGGGAATTATCAGGGAATTGACATTCCACACGGCCATTGTTGCACCGAAAGTCATCTTTATTCTCCTTCTCTCTCCACTCCTCAAGAACTTTGACAAAATGAGAATAAAAGCCACACAATCGAGCAGTCTTGGGAAGTTTCGCCGAAATTGAGTTGTTTGTTGATTCACTCCTTTGGGATGACAATATACCACCAGAGAAATGAGTTTTGTTAAAGGTTGGACACCATTTGTGACGATTTGAATACAACCGCTTCAGCCATTTATCATCAGCGCAATTGTATGTATCACACATACTGAAGTATCAAGAACAATGTTACAGTATGAAATGAATATGTGTAATTGTATACTGCACATGTTCGTATAAAAAATGAACGTTTCTAATGAACATGTTCGTATACTAGAGGAATATGTTCATATACAAAATGAATATGTTTAATAACTAAATGAGTATTTATTTATACAAAGTGAACATGTTTAATAACTAAATGAATATTTTTGTATACAAAGTGAACATGTTTAAAACAAAATGAACTTTTTCTACAAAAAAAAAATCATGAACATGTTACAGTATGATATGAACATGTTTCATTATGAAATGAACAAGTTCAGTTTTTTAATGAACATGTCTACATTCTATTTGACATGTTCTTTGAACTTTTCCAAAACACAGAATAAGCACCTATTTAATATATGACAATGTTTCAGTATGATTTGAACATGTTTGATAAATAAATGAACATGTTTATATACGACAATTAATTTTATCTACAAAAATTATTATCATGAACAAGTTACAGTGAGAAATGATCATGTTTCAGTATTAAATAAACATGTTTAATTGTAGAATGAACGTGTTCAAATATAAATTGAATAACTCACTTTTTCCAATAAAAATCGAATTCCGGTATTGTGTCCGTTGATCTCAAAACCAAATGAAAAAGATTGATGAAACCGGGCATTATCCGAAGATACTGAATGTGCTTTTTTGAATTCTCGTCAATATGCCAGGTGCATAAGCGATGTCGGGATTGCGTTAACACCAATGGAATTGCAGCTGCCATGGCTGCATCTTCATCGGTCACTATTGTGGCAGGCTGCTTCCCACCCATTGACTTCAGAAATTCATCCAACAACCACTGAAATGAATCCTTGTCCTCATGAAGCAAAAAACCAACACCAAACATAATGTTTCTCTTGTGATGGTTCATCCCTGTAAATGGAGCACATGCAAGATTGTACTTAACTGTCCTATGAGTAGTATCAAATACAACTAAATCACCAAACACCTCATAATCCTTCCTCATGCGAGAATCCCTCCAAAAAATGGAACACAATGATGCTGTTTCCTTATTCAGATCATAATTAAAATAAAATCCATCTTCCCGGGCCTGTCTTTCTTTCAATATATTAAGTAGGCCATTTGCATCACCGCCTTCCCAAATTCTCCGTTCAAGCTTTGCAACGTGGTTACGGGCATCAACTATTGTATAGGGCATATTTTGAACACCACGAGCTTGATCCGAAAGAACCCTATAACCAACGGTAACACCAACTCTACTAGCTTTTAATTGTGACAAATACGCTACATCATTCGAAGGCATATCCCTGTGAGAGCGAAAATAGCGGGCTTGATTGCATGGAACTAACTCATGGTTG